GCTCCAGACTCATATAGCACAATTTAATCTTTAGTTCCACTGGTCTGGTCTCTCCATTTCCCAGTTCAGACTAAGGAAAGCATAGATCTGGGTATGGCAGATTGTTTTTTTTTTTTTTTTTTTTTTTTTTTTTTTTTTAACCATGCTACACAAAGTCAACCTTTGGGTTGGCTTCCCTTCTGTCAACTGCTCAGCTCTGAGTAACACAGCTGTGAACCTCAGACTGGTTGCTTAGTTCAGAACACTGGAACTAAGCCAACTGTGTCTGGGAGTGAGGCAGCTTCCTTACATAGAGTTGCAGGAGGCACAGACTGATCATATTCACATCCTAGGTTTAGAGGAAGAAGCAAGGTTTCACATGCCTAGGGAATTTACCTACGGTGTAGAAAATCTTCTCCAGCTATACACATGTGAACGATATGTGTTGGGACCCACTCACATCTGGGTTGAGATTGAGACACATGGCTGTGATAACAAAACAGATCTCTGAGAGTCTGTCTTAGAAACTGCTTGCTATGTTGGTAGCACAGGTGTTACTTACCTAGTGAAGAATGGGGTGAAAACAAAAAATTAATTTCTCCCACATTGTATCTTTCTCCCACTGATTAGAATGAGATCTTACATCCACAATTAAAACAGTTATGTGTCTAATATTAATGACAAGAAAGGTTCCTGCTTTTCACTACTCTGCTCTTCCTACTCTGCTGTGTGGCAACATCTAAGGCCTTAGCTCCTCCCAGGTGCTGTGCTCCCCTTCATTTGGTCAGAGCTGCTCTATCTCATAGGCCCTTCCTGTGCCAGACTCTATGTCCACTCTTCAGGTCTCTGAGATCTTGCCTCCTGGAAGTCCTCTTGATTGCACAAATCAGGGTCCATTAGTCATAACTCTGATTGATGTCCCTTATCGAAGATACACTTACTTTATGTTTATTTATTTTATGTTTCAGTTCATTCTTCATATTTGTGAGGCCGGGGGCCATATCTTCCTAGCTATTACTATATCCTTAATCTTAACACAGCGCCTGATACATGTTAAGTGCCAATAAGCATTTGGTCAAACAAATCAAATTACAATAAAACTATTATTTGCAAGGGGCAATTCACTGATGATTGTTGCTCTATAGACTAAATGTATTTTATAGATTCCTTATGAGGGTCAGAAGGCATGACCCAGTAGGTCAGATGCATTTTCATTAATGAGAAGAGCAGAATATTATCTAGCAAAGTTAAAGCCAGAGAAGAGAAAACCTAGAGTAGGACACCCTGAATTTGTAAATGTGGACTCAGAGGGCACCTAAAGCCAAGGATGACCCGCCAAAACAATCAAGCCCATGTCTAAACTTCTTCCATTTCCCACAGGGTTATTTGGGCTCTAGTTTGATGGCTACAACAAGCCAGCCCCTGTCTGACTGATGGGAGAACTCACATGTGTGGATCACAGGAGACTGGATAGGGGCACAGAACTGTAACAGGGTAATCTCCATAGAAAGGGGAGGTTCCAGGGGCCTCCCCTGAAGCATAGGCCATTGAGCGCAGTGCTGTGAAGCTATCTGCAGCCTCTGCAGTACCGGTTCCATCCCAGCTGGTTGGCTAGGGTCCTACATGGCACAGCAGATCTCTCCTGTCTCACCCACTGGTCCCCTCAGCAGTGTATTTCATCAGTCTGCCTGTTCTGTTCCCTGCTCTGTCTCTGGTGAATCCTCTCACCCTCCCACAAATCTGGCCTGTACTCTGGTTCTTGTATAAATAAATCTTTAAAAAAAAGGGGGGGGAGGTTCTAGTTTCCCTGGCCCACCCAAGAAGGGTGGACCTGAGCAGTAAAGAGAACCTAAAAAAGACTGTGGAAAGGACTTGGGAAGAAAGAAGGGGAAAAGAAGCATTGAAGGAGGTACATGGAGCAGATAGACACATAAAGAAGGAGAAACCACACTTTTTCCTCAGCCTTGGACTTGCACCAGGGACTTGAGGGACATGGAAGGAAACACTTGAAAGGGACATGGTGTCAACATGCAGAATGAAGGGCACCCTGGGACTACCAAACCTGCCTGCTCTAAATGGGCACTGATATTTGCCACATAAACATGAAATATACTCTTTTCAATAGAAAAGAACTTTACTACAATTAGTATGTAATAGAGAGAAGAGAAAGAATATAGTTAAAATAGTTTCCTGTTTAAGCACCCAAAGTTACCCATTGTCTCGTGGGTAAATGCGCAGCTTAACGTGGTTGGCCCAAAGGAAGGCCACTGAGGCTCAAAAGCCTATCACAAGTCTAAGGCACCTTCTTCCTGGTGGGGCTCCATAGGAAAGGGTAGAAGGAGCCAGGCAAATCTGGAAGGAAAAGAGCAAAATCAAAATCCAAGTCAAGATAAAAGCTGCCATTGTCAGATTCCCCATGAGGCTCTCACCTATGTTTGTCCCTTTCACATGTCTCCTTCCATGTCCCCCAAGTCCTGGTACAAATCTGAGGCCAAGAAGCAAACATGGCTTCTTCCTCACACGTCTTCTTCTCCATGTGCCTCCTCCAGGTCTTCTCTCTTCTTTCATTCTCCTCCATTGGCCCTTTCTAGCTTCTCCTCACTGCTCAGCTCCGCCCTTCCTTGGTTGGATCAGGGGATCTGGAATCTGCCCTCTCTATGCCCTCTCAACTGTCACTGTTTTGGGTGTTTCAGAAAACTATTCTAATTATTTTTTTTCTCTTCTTGCCTCTCTTCACACACTGATTGTATTTGAGTTCTTTTTCATTGAAGGTCGTATGCACTAGAGTATGTAGCAGAACCCATTTAAAGTATGCAGGTTTGGGGGTCCCTGGGTGTCCCTCACCTTGCTTACTAACAATAGGAGAATAAAGACAAGGAGGTAAAATTTTGTGTTCCTCTCTTTCCCTCAGCAAAATGGTTTATAGTTTCATCCTAGTTTTCCAGGTGGATTTCCCATCTCTCTCAGATCCTTCAGCCAAATTTGTACAAATTTAAAGTTTGAAATCCAGCATTTAACTAGTTTCCCAAAAAGATATTCAGCAAATTAAAAAGTTGGAGTCAGAAATACATATATATTTATTTCAAGAATTGTTTTACAAACTAACCTTAAATATACCATTTTGTTTTTTAAAATCTCATTATATTGATGGGGTATAGAGGCAAAATAACTATAATCTTAGAGAACAGACTTTTTATCACATATGCATAAGATGTTACAGAAACTATTAGAAAAAAATAAGAGAGAGGAAGAAATCAATAAAGCAAATCCTTTTAGTTTGGGGGAAAAAAAATCTTTAAAAAAATAGAGCTGAAATCCAGGTACTCAGGGGCAATTTTGCAGATATTGGGGGAGGATGTCCTTTGAATCTACATTTTGGCAAACATGACTTTAGCCCCTGAGAACCAGAATTCAGTTTTTAATTCATGCTGTCTCTTGTTTAAGATACTTAGAAGAGGTACCATTAGCATTTCCTGAACCATGTTCACCCAGAAACAAGTAATTGAGGGAATTCATAGCCCTCTTTAGAACTAGCAGGCAATCCTCTGAATAGAAGGTAGGAAAGAGTCTGACTTCAATAATGGATTCCAAGAATAGCTGAACAGCGTGGGTCTGCTCACAGCTCCCTTCTTCCTGGTAGATGGCTTCTCATAAGGACTAGGGGAGAAAACGCCAGAAATACAGTTGTCTAAGGCAAAAAAAAAAAGTGTGGAATTAGATACAGCACATGAAGAATTACCTTCCACACTGAAATATAGTTAGTCAACTTCTACTTCATTGGGGAAAATGATTGCATATAAACGGATGTTAGTGATCTGATTTCAGTGCCAGGAGTATAATGATTATTGGGTCACCTTAAGACCTGGGACAGCAGTGGGCGAGCGCTGGGCCAGACAATGAAAGGAAAAAAAGAGGGTGGTTTTACTTTGTCTCAGAGTTGTGTCATTTATATAAAGGTGTTACCTTTTACCTGCATTGATGTATTGGTATTTTTCCTATAGAAAAGCTTATCTTTTATTGTGTCACATAAATGTGGGTTGTTAGCTCTACCACTTTACAGAGTGTAAGAGTTTAAATAAATGAATTAACAGCTCAGAGATTCAGTTTACAAAACAAATACTAGTATCTGCTTCACAGGGCTGTTGTGAGGGTTAAATGAGATTCTGCCTGTGAGGTCAACAGCCCTGTATGGGGTTTTTTCTAGCCCTGCAGAAACACTGGCACCCCTGGGGGTGCTGGCTGCTGCTCTGTGCCAGAGGGCCCTCTGGGTGAGGGGAGAAGGAATTCAAGGGCAAGGTGGGGTGTCAGTGCGAGAACACTATACTCAAGGGGTGTAATGTCTATAATGAAAACATACCATGAATTAAGGAATAAATATAAACATTGTTGCTGTTTCCAAAGACCAGAAAAAGAACAGGGATTAAAACAAAAAACCCTGGAAATTCTTGGCCATGTTTTATGAATAATAGAAATCTTGTCAATGAACCAGCAGTCATTTCTAACTGTCAAATACGACAGTGGTCCCTAGAGCAGGGCAGCGATGTTTCTGTACATCATTAATAAATGGCAGGTTCATTTAGTGTGAGTTTAATGTGATTACTTCATGAAATTTTGCTATTAGTACTCAGTGGCCTGCTGCTTCTGCAGTTTGGCCACCTGTTCACAAATTTTAAAAATGAATGGAGACCAGGAAAAAGACTCATCACAAGCAACTACAAACCAGAGACACACCATGGGGGGAGGAGAAAGGAGTAGGATCAAAAAACAAGGGGGTGGGAATTGTATGGGAACTATAACCAAGATGAAAATGCATGCATTGTGCAAAAATGAAAAATGATGTTAAAATATATAAAATAAAAATAAATAAAAGAGAAAAAATAAAAAATAATAAAAATCATTGCCATAAACAGTAACCAAATATTCCCTGCCTATGGCAAGACAGACTGAAAATAAAGACAAGGATTTAGGAAACAAAATACTTAAAAAAAAAAATGAATGGACATATTTGCTTTTTTATCCAGCCAGCGCGTCTTGGTACCTCCTAGAGTTTGGAGAAAACAGGCCTGAGGAGATTAAAGTGAGAAGCTGTATGAGGAATGCTGCTTCAGGAGCTGTGTGAGGAAGGCTGCTTCAGAAATGAGGTGCTGATCCCTTACCAGTCCACTTCTCAACATTATCAGGGGTCTGTCCCATTTTCTCCTCATATGCAATCACAGGGCCCACTCAGGACACAAAGGCCTCTCCTGTTCCTTCAACAAAAGGAATTGAGTAGAAGGAATTGTTTCCAAAGGTGGCTGAGAAGACAAACAGGAGCATGATGAAATTTGGGATACCGTCATCATGAAAAACCTTGCCGACCCATAGGGCTGGAGGGACACCAGGAAGGTTTGGTTCCCAGAGTCCCAGGAGCAGGCTTCCATAGGAAACAGAACTATGGGGGAGGGTGGCAGCTGGGATCTTAGAGAGGGGTACTCCTGGAAGGAAGTACAGCCATGAAGAAGAGGTAGCTGGTGTCAACTCTGGAGAAGCCACCAGGCTCCCTCCTTCCAGACTTTTTCAGCTCCTGCCATTGAGCAGAACTACCTGAAAGCCCATTGCTTGGGAGCCTAGGAAAATTAGTTTTCTACGATAGAGCAGAACAGGGGAAATGGCTAAGGATGCAACTGATAGCAAAAGACCAGCATATCATGTTCTTGAAAACATTTCTGAGAACTAACCAGCTGACTGAGTTAAACTGCAAACACTTATACAGGAAGGCCCTCAACCTAAGAAAACTAGAACCCATTCTGGCAAAGATAAGGAGTCTGGGGTTAAAAGGAGACTGCTCATTGTTCTATGTTGTCTTCTCTCTGAAAGTAACTGTATCTTAATTTTTGGTCATTGTTGGTTATCAGAGTTGAAATAGAAAATAACATATTAATATAAAGCAGTCCAATGTGCTTCTTCTGTTAACTAACAGCCCTTTGTTTTGGATTATCCATTTAAACCTTTTCCTCATCATCCTGAGTAATTGAAAGTTACATCTCATTGTTCTCAGAAGAATTAATAACTTCTTGCATTTCTTTTTTTTTTTTAATAGAGGCATGTTTTATTTATTTGTTTGTTTGTTTGTTTGTTTTGTTTATACATGCACTGGGTACAGTCAGAAGAGTGGGAGGGTGAGAGAATTCACCAGAGCCAGAGCAGGGAGCAGAGCAGGCAGAAGGACCGAAGTACACTGCTGAGGGGAGCAGCGGGCGGCAGGAGAGGTCTGCGCGCCATGTGGGACCCTCCTCCAGTGGCAGGGGAGAAGCCAGGGATCGAAAAGGAGCCGCAGAGGTCGAGGGCAGCTTCGCAACCCAGCGCTCAACCGCTGCGCCCCCGGGGAGGCCCACTTCTTGCATTTCTGATTCCACTAGTAATAAAGCTTTCTAATAAGAATGTTACATTAGCATAGATCTTTAGAGGTTACGGTAAACATTCACATACTTTGCCCTATTTTGTTTTATGCCCTGGTTGTCTGAAGTGAAGTGAAGAAAACTAGACTTATTGAATATATGCTGTCTGAAGTAAAGGGAAGAAAACTAGACTTATTGAATATGTGTGATGTACTAGGCACTGTCTCAGCAGCATTGTAGAGATTAATTCAGTTAAATATCATAACATAAAAAAGGAAGTACTATCCCCATTTCACAGATGAGAAAAATCATATTACAAGACAGAATGAACTGAATCATGTAGTTAAGTCCAGGGAACTTATTGTGCTGAAAACTTACACACACACACACACACACACACACACACACACACAGTCACAGATTGTATTATATATATGTATATCTTGCATTTTATATATTTGCACATTATATATATATATATTTATAACTCCAAAACAATGTGACTTTTACAAAAATCTTATTTATAATTTATTTAGTAAATCTCAATATCTGAGTCATTTACTTCATGCCACATGTATTACCTAAAAATCAGAGGTGGAAACAAGGCCTCAGTGGATGACAATTACTGCTCTCATTGTGTGTATTCAATGTTAAGTCCTCTGTGAGCCTCATTCATCCCTTAAAATAAGGATAATATAGATTGAATTGAAACATTCAGCAATAATGTATTTTAAAAATTTAATAAAAGTATCTGGCCTATATACATCTGGGAATAAAAGTTGTTACTGCACTGGACCTCCCTGGTGACCCAGGGGTTAAGTTTCAGGACTATCATGCTATTGCCACCATGGCCCGGCCAGGGAGCTGACCCACATGGTGCAGCAGACCTTTCCTGTTTCACCCGCTGGTCCCCTCAGCAGTGTATTTCAATGAATCCGCCTGTTCTGCACCCCCCCCACTCTGTCTCTGGAAAATCCGCTCACCCCCACACCTCTGGCCTACACCCTAGTTTTTCTATGCATAAATAAATATTAAAAAAAAAATAAAATAAAAGTTGTTACTATGCTGAGAGGGCTATGTCCAGTTGCTGTTACTGTCCTCGGCGTGAGCCAGTCCTGCACTTGACTGGTGACATGACGCAGAAGTGGTCACCTCTGAGATGTGTTTAATACACCAGGTGTTCTCAGTGCTCATAAACACCCCACCCCATAGAGCCCAGTCCCGAAAAGTGTTTTATTAGGATCATTTTCTAATGCCAGGTAGTGGGCACTTGTGGAAACATGTGTAGATACAGAAACACTGCTACTTTAAGAGAACTCATCTCTGGTTAAAAATTATAAATATTAATAACAATACTTATAAATTAAAAGTTCCAATAAAAGCCAATGTCCATAAGGGAACATTCTGGACCCCATTCTTCTGGACATCAAAAGGTCTTCAAAATTGGGCCTCCCCTGGTGGCACAGCAGTTGAGTGCTGGGCTGCGAAGCTGCCTGCAGCCTCTGCAGCGCCGATTCAATCCCCGGCCATCAGACGAGGGTCCCACATGGTGCAGCAGACCTCTCCTGCCGCCCGCTGCTCCCCTCAGCAGTGTACTTCGTCAGTCTGCCTGTTCTGCTCCCTGCTCTGGCTCTGGTGAATTCTCTCACACTCCCATGCTTCTGACTTTCCCCAGTGCTTGTATAAATAAATAAATAAATCTTTAAAAAACAAAACAAAACAAAAAAAAAAAAAGGACTTCAAAATTAACCTCTTCGGCAAGATTAACATGTTTCTCTACAATCAGGCATTCTAGGGAATTTCCAGCTCTAGGAAATAGCCTGGAATTCTCTAGATAAGATGCTAAGCATCAATTTACAGGAGAACTTGCCATGGTGATATGGATAAGCATTTCAGAGAAACGAATTGAACTGAAATTCTATCCAATGTGACCAGAATGCGGAAAGACCACATACAACCTGAACATAAAAGTAAATGGGTTTAGGATGACATGAAAGGCTGCAGGAAGATGTGGATCTGGTTAAGCTGATAACACATTATGCATCACTGGATTCTGTCAGGAGACAGAAGCAGCCTGGTTATTTCAAAAAAGAGGATTTGATATTAAGAATTGTCAACTAAATGACTGAAAATGCAGAGAGAGAGAACTCTAAGACATCAAGAAAATGGCAACTGCAGGACACAACTACTGCCCCTGGGGATGCAGGAACAAAAGAAGAGCTAAACTTATACGGCATTTAGATGATTGAAAAAGGTCCCTATGAATGCGCCCTTGAGAGGAAGGCAGTCGTCAGCTAATGCTGGGGTCTCTGACCCTGGAGGAAGTGTCCCTCAGGCCTGGCCCAGACTTCTGAGGTGAAGATTCCTCTGAGGAGAGCAGTGTGTCTGACAGAGAGCATTAGATCGGTCTATGAGTGACAGGAAATGTCAAACTGCATCCAATTTCTGCTCCTACACAGAGTGAACAGTGCAGCCAGGATAAAGAAATACTGGGGGATCTTGACAGGACTGAAAAGTAGGGAGTCAATATAATGTAAAGAGAAGACCCCTTTTCTCCACCTCCAGGCTTAGAGCTCCCTGGAACTCTCCTATTTTCAGAGTCTTACAGGAGCCAGCAGGCCAGGGAGAAACAGCCTTCCAGTTGCACTGCAGAATACTGAAGAGATAATACTTTAAACAATGGTACACATTCTATTGCTATTCACTCAGTAATTAAAAGGTTGATAATAAAAATTATATTTGGGGAATATACCCAAAATCATTAAAAGCAGGAACTAAATATATATTTGTACCCTCTTATTCATAGTAGAAAGAAGGAAGCACCCCAAAAGGATATAGGCAGATGAATAAAGAAAATGTGGTATATTTGGAATATTATTCAGCCTTGAAAAAGAAATTTTAACAAATGCCACAAAACAGAAGAACCTTGAGGACATTATGGTAAATGAAATAAGCCAGTCAGAAAGGAGAGGTACTGTGTGATTCCTCTCCTATGACTTACCTAGAGCAATCAAATTCAAATTCATAGAGACAGAAAGTAGATCAGTGGTTGAGGGGGAAAGGAGAGGAAATAGAGAGCTACTGTTTAGTGGGTAGAGTTTCAAATAAAAAGAGTTATGTGGATGGATGTTGGTGATGGTTATCAACAATGCAGGTACATTTAATGTCACTGAACTGTGCACCTGAAAATAGGAAAGATGATCAATTTTATGCTATATGTGTTCTGTCAGAGTTAAAATTTAAAAAAAAGAATCGATGAATTCACAAAGATAGTAAGACAAGGAATTTATCCATTTATCTTACAGATCGTTAAAGGAGTGTTATTGTCAATAATTACAAAATACAATACCATGTGAAACTTCGAAGATGTTCACAATACAGTGATGGAGGCACTGAAGTAATTAATTTTAAAAATTATATCCCAAAATCTGAAAGTTTTTTTTTTCTGTTTGCTTTCATACACCAAAATATTTGCTTTTCAAAAGTTTATATACCCTTCAACATTAATTTCAAATACTCCTTCCTGCATTGTTCAGCAATCAGGAAGTTACTCCCTTCTAAGCCGGAATTTATTTTTTATCTTACAACTCCAGCATCCAAGGCCTGTTTTATGTACACTAGATATGCAGCTAAAAGGTAAGGTCTACATTGTATCTGCTTCTCAGTGCATACATATGAGTACTCAGTGCATATATATGTAAGTGCTCATAATATAAGTACTAAAAATATTTTTTAATTGAAGCTATAGCATCTGCAAACTATATAAATCCAAAATTTGGAAAATACGGAGACCAACTGTCTGGAACGGCCCGTAGCTGAGTTTCCTGGGATACAGGATGTTGGGTGCTAAATTGGACCATACTGGGCAAATCAGAACTGGTTGTCACCCTAGGAGTACAATTCAGCATTTTCAAACAAAATGGAAGCATTGTTTTTGTAAATTCACTATGTAACTGTGGCCAAACACAGCTCTCAGAGACACAATTGGCATGAACACCAAAGTAAAATGTCAAGAAATGATTATGTATAAATTCTCATCATTCTAATCAGAAGTTTATTTCTGCTATAGTGACGATTATTGCTCCTCACTTGCAATTATAACATAAAAATGTTTGATAATTTTTCCTTTCATGGTAACTAGGAAACATTTTTTTTTTCTATTCTGGAAGGAAGGAAATAAATTCATAGTAAAAGTGCTAATGAAGAATTCCTACATCTCACATTAGAACCGTTGCAGGTATTAAGAGTCCTAAATTTTCCAGATAAAACCATGAAGCATTTATCCTGCAAGCCAGTTCCATTCCCCCAGGCATCAGTACGAAATTGAAACTGGATGCTGGGAGCAAGTGTGCTTTGATCGAATGGCATCGGCACTGGGACCACATCATAACATGCTCTGAACACTCTGATCTCACCTAAGGGCTGTCAAGAGATGCTAATGGACCAATTTTTCTGTCCTTGGCCCTACTCTACGGAAAGCAAATTTTGCTGTCTCATAGGGTCAGCATGACCATGACTCCGAGGCTTTGTGATTCACGTACATGGGGAGGAGGAACACCAGGAATCCATTCGCCATTCAGCTTCCATTCACACCCGTTTAGGGAGCACCGAACTAACAGTGACCTCATTCTGTTAAGTGTTGTGAATAGCAAGAGAAATAAGACAATTCCAGGTGGGGCTACAAACCAAAGGGAAAAGGAACAAAGTGCTGTGGAATGGAGTTTGTGGAGGGCAGTTAGTTTTGCAGAGAAGTCAAGGGAAAGCATTGTTAAGGAGGTGACAGGTGACATGTGTTCTGACCATCCACCAGCAGTTCCTAGTGGACAAATACAAGGAAGAAGAGAATGTTTTAGAGGAGTGAGTGTAGGGAATGCCCTGTGTACAAAATCTTCTCGCTGCTCTCACAAAGTATCTCCACCTGGGTAATTTACACAACAGAAATGTATTGCTTCACAATTCTGGTGAAGAGAAGTCTGAGACCAACCTATGGGCAAGATTGGCTCCTTCAGAAGTCTGAGAGAAAATCTGTTCCATGTTCTCACTGTTTCTATTCTATTCTATTCTATATAGAATGGCTATTTGCTAAGATCTCTGTGGTATCTTTAGATGCATCACCCCAGCCTCTGCCTTTGTCTTCATGTGGCATTCTCCTTGTTCACATATCTGTGTCCAAATTTCCCCTTTTTAAAAGAAGTCAGGACAGGAGTTAGGGGTCCAACCTACTCCAGTATGACCTCATCTTAATGCAACTGATTACATCTGCAATGATCATATTTTTAAATAAGGCCACATACTGAGATGCTCTGGGTTAGGAATTCAAGATAAGAATTGTTGGGGAAAGAGCACAAATTCAACCCACAATTCCCTGAAAAAGGCATCAGATATATTAACATGAAAGGGTATTTTTAAGGTGGGAAGTTCTGTAATTTTACCAGAGCTTGTTTAACTATTCTCCTGTTGAAGGGCAATGGGTTTGATTCTAAGCTTGGATTATTATAAATAAAGCTACTGTACATTTTGTAATAATAGATAGGTAGGTAGGTAGGTAGGTAGGTAGCTAGATAGATAGATAAGATATAGTACAAAATGGTAGGAGAGGAAGGTGGAAGCTAGGATTTGAAAATCTTGCATAGTCATGTTCAAGGGTGAAAAAATTGAAGTATATACTCAAATGTTTGGAAAGCACTAATATTGATGAAGGGAAAAAAAACTGTGATCATAAGTTAGGAGAAATGTTAATGTTAAATAAACATTAACAGGTTAATCTTTATGACAGAACTTCTTGGGAACTGTAACATGAGCATGTGCTTTAGAAAATCTACGAAAATGAGAACGTGAACAGCCCTTCCCAAACTTATTTCACTGCAGACATTTTTTGTTTTCAGGAACCACTCCTAAAATTAACCATTTGGGAGATGTGGGCATTATCACAGCGTATCCTTCCTGACTGGCTTCATGACATCTCTGAGTTCCAGTTCCCTGCTCTGTATGGCTGGGATAATGATCGCATTTTATCAGTTCAGCCCCTGCGAGTGAAGAGAGAGACCACAGCAGATCGCGCTGTGGTAAACCACTGTGTCTGGAGACTACTTGAAGGACTTTGAAGTGGGAATGGGAGGGGGGAGTATGTGAATCTGTTGAAAATAAGGTAAGAGAGTAGTCAAAGTAATTATTTGGGGAAATAAAGATCCCAGAGCAGCATCAAAAATCAGATGGCAGTCTCCTTGCCTCGGCTTCTCACGCCCTCCCTATCACTCCCCATCACTCCCCTTGAGTCCTGTTTCATTCATTTGTTCAACCGATATTTGTTGTCCATTACCAGGTCTGAGACTCATTGCTTAGCATTCCTTTCCAAGTAGCCTGCACAGATTACTTGAATTCAATCTGCCCTCCTTTTCTTCTGATATCCTTGACATACACTATGTGAGTCTCACAGCTGTGCACATGTAAGTGTATTGATTTGAACCATTACCTCTTTGCTTACATTTATATTTGGATGCACCTCCTAAATGAGACTGAAAATCTTCCCTAATCAAATACTAATAATATCCCATGTTATGCCAACCACAAAAGTATACAGAGTTAACTGCATAGAAGCTTCTTCATGGTCCTGTAGTGCATTGAATTTAGCCTCTTAGAGGAGTCTCATAACTTCAAGTTAACTTGTAAAATTACAAAGACACTGCAACCAGACACAGAATGTGGAGAATTACCTGAAAACATAGAAATTTCTTTTTCATGATTACCCAGTTGATAAATGATTCCCAAGTGTCCATGTATTTAGGGAGCCACTGAAAATAAGGCAAGTTTTGATACAAAAGGAGTTGATCTGTGCCTCTAAGCAGCAGAGGCCTGTCATTGACAACATAAAGTGACAAACAGATGACATTTAATGGGAAGACAATATGTCTATTTATTTATAAAAATTATGGTTCAAACATCATTGGGGCTTATTTCTAAATGATTTTTTTAAAGTATTCTTTCCCCATCATTTTACCATTCAATCATTTCTGAACTATTTTTAAAATATTTAAAGAAGTACAAAAGGAAAGTATATTTCTTCTTGAACCCTAAGTCAAGTTCATTTACTGATTACAGACTATACTGAATTGTTGAATTAAAAATCAACCATATCTCTTTGGGCAATTTTCTGTGAAGGTAACATTGGAACTTTTAAATCTTGAATATGATACTATTTGATATTTTGTTAATTTGTCAGATTGACTTGCCACATTTAGGTCAAAAACAATTTTTAAGGTCATTTATTTTTATCAGCTTTAAAAATGATACTAACCTATTCAGACAATATCTTGTCAAGAGTTTAGCTAGCAAAATTTTAAACTTTAACTTTATAATTTAGTAAGTCACTCTCATTCATACTTTATGATCAGAGAAACAAAAATAGTTAAATCAAAATATGAAGCCCACAGAATTTTCTTCAGAAATCTTGTATATATCTACAAATGAATCAAAGATGAAAACAACCAAATAGTAATTTAGTTCCAGGAACATTCCCAATTTCCTTGTTCAACCTTTGCAGATGCCCTTCACACCTCCTGGTCCTCTCCCTCTTTTACCTCTTGAGGCCAAAAGTTATTCCATTCCCTCTCCAATTTCCAGCTTTAATGAGGAATAGTTGACAAGTGTAATTGATATATTTAAAGTGTACAATGTGGTGATTTGGTAACATAGAGATGTTGAGACAACTGAGTGTTATTCTATGATCCCCTTCCTACCCAAATTAGCAGTGTTTTCAGTCCTCTCCAACACTTAGAACTCCACATATCTACTTCTTATCAGACATTTTCAATTCAAGAATTGTGAAAATCTATAAGGAAAATGATAAAATCAATGCCCTTTGTGGGGTATAGCAGCATCAGCCTGGTACAAAGGACACAGACCTCAGAAACAGGAGGCTCAGATTCAAAGTCAAGGTCAACTATTTACTGTCTTGTGAACTCACTTAATCTTCTGAGCCTCAATGTCTCAGAGTTCCATAATTCCAATGAATGAATGAATAACGAATAACCTTAAAGTATTCTCTCTCTCTCTCTCTCTCTCTCTCTCTCTCTCTCTCTCTCTCTCTCTCTCTCTCTCTCCTGCCTCCTTCCCCCCAGCTCCCAATCTTATTCTGCTTTGGCCTCTCTCTTTTTCTTTTCCTGTTTCACACTGCTTCCTTCATACTGCTTCTTACTTCCTTAATTTTCTACTCCTTAATATGAGAGACATTTCTTTCCCAGGACTGTTCACTTAATATCACTGCTCTGTGTCCTCATTTGCTTCATATAATCCATCTCCTTCATCTCTCCTTTCTCCACATTGGTTCTTGAACATGGAAAAGATTCCCCCCTCACATTCCCAAAGCCAATATTTTTCTCTCATTCAAAACATCACAATAATCACCCCTCTGTCTATTATATCCACTCAGTAAATAATAAATGATTAAAGTGGCAATGATGAATTCATCAGCAAAGAACATATATTCCGAGCAATTATATTCTGAGCAATTAAATCTGGCAAAGAAAAGATAGGGAGTAACTGCAACCCACTTAGAAACAGGTGTGATTTCTCTAACCAGCCGTTATCACATTTGCACTGCCATAATTACTGCTCTGGCAAATACTACATTGCCATAGAAACACTGTTTCCAAAGTATATATTTATAGATTTTGTTGGTGGGTATGTCGACTACGAAGCAGTTTTCACACGTATTTGTGAGCTTTCACAATGAAGATGGTGGGGATGTTATTCTTCTTCCCCAGTAACCCCAAGTTGAAGGATTTTAAAGTGCAATGAAAACCCCTTCAACATCCTATATTTCCCTAAATGCACACGTTTAAAGTAAGGGAACTGATTAAATAAAGAGCACAGTGTACTAATGCAATAGTCGAAACAGGACCAAATCAGGGTGTGCCTGACGTCCTCATCTGTCCTTAGCTGTAAAATGGGAATAGTTCTCTTAGAAAATTTCCATTTGTTCAAATGAGACATGGTACATTTAAAAAGAACTCCATAAATTTGTGTCGTATAAATATCAATTTTAGTTTTTCTTCAACATCAAAAGAGATTGTTCTCAGATATTAGGAGGAATTCAGTTTTGAGCACTTTCTCACTCCTCTGTAAGCACTATGGAGTTTGTTTTTCCCTATATATTTGTGGCCAAGCAGATTTGGGATCATCAGGGTTTAACCTTAGTCCAGACCCTGAGAAGAAATGTGCTTGCTGGCAGGTGGGTTATTCTCTGGCTACTCTGTGGATTTTTCCTTACTGTTGTTAATCTATAATTCAGCCACAAGACAGAGCTGTATCTATAAGTGTAAACAAAGCTTTTATTTGTCTGTTTTAGGGAACTGCAATGCAGGAAATACGACTCAGTTAGGCCATGGAAGGCTCCCATGTGGCAAAAAATTACAGAACTGTCTCCTACTGGCAAATTAAAATAATTATTTAAAAGGGGATTTAAAAAGAAACATGCAAAAGGGAGGGATGTCTGCATGTCAGTGCAGTAATAGACTGTCCTCTGAAGCTGAGATCTGATAGTGTTTGTTGATTCCTGTGAGTAGACTGGCATCCTCTCTACAAACTTTTCAAATTCCAGGTGTCAGAGTGCTCATTCACTGAGGACTATGTGTGCAAATTTGAGGTAGAACAGCAATTTAGCAGAAACTGCACCCCACCCCCCAATCCACTAGCTCAGAAAAAAAAGTCTATGCACATTCAGAGCAAGGTGACCCAAACCCTGCTAGTTTAGACCCTTCCTCTCCTTCCCCCACAGGGCACCTTGATTGTGAAATCCCCCTATCTTAAGAATAGGGATATTATGGGGCCTCCCCTGGTGGCGCAGTGGGTGAGCACTGGGCTGCAAAGCTTCCCCCAGCCTCTGCAGCACCGGTTCAATCCCCGACCACCTGTAGGGTCCAACATGGTGCGACAGACCTCTCCTGCTGCGCCCGCTGCTGCCCTCAGCAGTGTGTTTAATCAGTCTGCCTGGTCTGTCCCCAGCTCTGGCTCTGGTGAATTCTCTCACCCTCCCGCGCTTCTGATTGTACCCAGTGCTTGTATAAACAAATAAATAAATCTTAAAAAAATAAAAATTAAAAAAAAAATAGGGATGTTATGGCCCTGGGGTTTTGTTAAACAAAACTGATCAGTGCCCATTCTGGATGCTATCAGTGAGCCCCTACTACTCACACAAAGGAGGTATTTATGTGAGCAGCTCAAGACCCAAGGCACAGCTCTCTCTTAAATCATCTGCACCCATTCTTGACTATGTCCTCTCATTGCACTGAAGCTTCACTACTCACTCACTTATTGTGATGCCTGCATGGGTTCTTTCCTGCACCAAAGTCAAGAACTTCCAAGGTTCCTCAGTCCCCCAGGGCCCCGTCAGGTTTTCTGAAGATGATGATGGTAAATCCATGTTACCAAGTGTCGGGTGTGGTAGATGTGCATAAATCTACTCTCCAAGGGCCTGACTCCATTTTGGATGTTCCCTTTATCAACTTTGATTCTATGATTTCTGAGTCATCTCTATACTATCTTTAAACTATAAGGAAGAAATATATAAAAATATATGTTAATTCATATTTTTGGTTTTTATTGGTAAAATTCAGAATAACAAGATACCGCTGAATTCAACAAAAGATATGAACTCATATATTTGACAAGATTAGAAAAAAAAAGTACAGTTTTAAACTGAACTCTTCACCTATGAAAACAACAAAAATGAACCTTTTTTTTTATTATTATTTATTTATACAAGCACTGGGTACAGTCAGAAGCATGGGAGGGTGAGAGAATTCACCAGAGCCAGAGCGGGGAGCAGAGCAGGCAGAAGGACCGAAGTACACTGCTGAGGGGAGCAGCGGGTGGCAGGAGAGGTCTGCGAGCCATGCGGGACCCTCTCTGGTGGCCGGGGAGCAGCTGGGGCTCGAACCAGCACTGCAGAGGCTGCGGGCAGCTTCGCAACCCAGCTCTCAACCGCTGCGCCACCGGGGAGGCCCGAAAGTGAACCCTTTTTAAATAAACAAGGAGCAAACCCCTTTTTAAGTCAAGACCAATCAGCAAAGTTTTCATTCAAATGACAACATTTATATTTGCCTACTCTTTATAATCACAAAGTATTTCACCTATCAGTTGATCCTCATTACCACTCCAAACTACTTCTTACCACTCTTGAGGACAATAGGC